AGAGGAAAGTAGTACGTATTTATATTTGTGATTTAAAATCCGCCTGTAAAGTAAAAAAAAAAGTATTTAAATCGCTGGACGAGAATTCACGTAATTGCATGTTGAGATGGGTCTAATTAGAAAAAGCTAGTGGTGTGAAGAAAGGGCGACTTCCCTTTAAATTCGCGATGCCTGTATTAAAACATTTATTTAATCAACTATATATATATATAGTTTGTCGACACAATGGACCTCATGTACAAATCTCAGAAGTAAATATATCCAAAGGAACCACTGTTTTTATCGTATTTTGAAAAATATCCATCTCCAAGCTTTATGGGCTGGAACCTTTCTTTTCATTTAAATGAAAACACTTTTACAAATTTGAAGAAACATTTGAACAATATGCCATAAAGATGTGTTCCATAGTTGTCAGATCTGTACGTACGAAGAAATAAAAAATGTACACAAATACGTTTATCCAATCACCTTTAGTATCCATGCCATTTTGTCATTATATTGTTTCTCATAAAACTGACATAAGCAAAAATGGTCTGCATACAACATTGCTTGAAAGAATATAGTGTAAAAGAGAGAGAGAGAAAACTATATTGTTTTATTACACCAAGCATATGTTCCCAAAAAAATATTTTTTTCTTTTGAAACCTGGGATGTTATGACTGTGTTGATAAGGAAGACACACACCCACACCCACACACCAACATAAAGAGAGAGAGAGAGAGAGAGAGAGAGAGAGAGAGAGAGAGAGAGAGAGAGAGAGAGAGAGAGAGAGTAATTCTATCTATTTGATTCAATTGTTGTTAAGAGAAATGGAATATATATGCTTCATGCTTTGATTAAATTGATAGGTATTTCCTCCCTTCAAGACCATTGTAAGCAGGTTATCAAATTATTGTTGGTATTTGTGTTTATACCTGTTTGAATAAATTTTATAATTTGATGAATTTAGCTTGAAATAGGTTACATATTTCTTTAAAAGGAAGTAAATATATATATAATTAGTCGGAAACAAATAGTTGGCAGGGTTCCAAATATTTAGATTAGTATTTTGAAATCTGTAATTTATTTGAGTGCACGTTGTAGTTGCAAATTTAAATTACTGAATTCAAACTTCGACGTTCTTTTCATTATAAAAGGACGTTTCAATGTAATGTTTTAATGGTATACTTGATCGTAAGCCCTCCAGATCTTATCGCTAGGGATTATGATTACTCTGCTTACGGTCGGGTTGTAATGGATCAATGAGGAGGGTCCTAACTCCTGCATCTGGTACCGTATCCCCCAACCCTGTATTAGCTCAGTATTAATGATTATTTATCTCCTCTTTCGCGAAAGCAGGGGGACACGAGATTTTATTTATTGTCTGTCAGTCACAAAAAACCAAAAAAATTTTGGTCATAACTTTTGAATTAGAAAGTATAAGGCTTTCATATTTCGCATGTACATTACCTGTGACAAGGCCTTTCCAAATTTACTATGATTTTTGACCCAGTGACCTTGAAGTTTACCTACTTTTCAAAAATTTAAACATTAATAGTGAAAACTTTTGAATGATTCATACTTGGCATCTGCATCACCAGCACTACCTGTGAGAACTTTCATACTAAGTACAATTTTTTACCCTATGACCTTGATCTGGAAGTTTGACCTCCTTTTACATAATCAGGGACCAAATTTGACAGATTGCATATGCATTGGAAAAAAATCGTTTGAGAAATCTCCAGAACGGCAAGGCCATGTTGGTCACATTAATATTGAAGGATCAGTATGTTGTTTGGATTCAAGTTTGGTTTAATTGAGAACCCCTTTGGTTGGGCCAAAATATGAATATAGGGTACAATTTTCATGGGAATATAGAATGGGAAAAAATCTTTTAAGATATTCTTCTGCAGAACAGCATGACCAAGTTGTGGCTCATAGGCCTCTTATGGTTATTGCCTGGCTGCACATTTGCACAGGTGGTAAACAACACTGGAGTGGTATTTTATGCATAAGCAGCTTTGCCACTTAAATGTAGGTAAATCATCAGGTCTCTAAGTTGGTTAACACTGCCTTAAACTTTGGTGAAGTTTGCCAATATGTAAGTACATTGTGTTTGAAGTGTAGCAAAAACCGGAGAAAGACTTATTGTAACCCATAGGATAGGTGTTGGGAAACAGGAAACCATTTTAGTTCTGCATTTTGAATGATAGGCTCCTCCTGCTGCAGAAACATCAGGAATTTTGACCATTGTGGCTGACAACTTTGTTTTGTGTTGTTCTTTCTTTCTATCTTTCTTTTTTGGTTATTTATTACTATGATTTCGGACATTGTGCAACTTTAAGCTCCACGGTGGTGTGCATCTTTATGCTCCACGGTGGACCCAAATTGGATGAATAAATATTCTATTTTAAGTGGTTTAATTCGATCGGTATGCAAAAACCACAAGATCCGAAAACGATCAATTTTTCAGCACGACATGGTACTATGAATTAAGTTGATTTTACAGTGTTTACGCAATATCGTTAAAAGTCAGCATTTAGCCATTCTGTTGTAGTTATTATACTAGTAATAATCTTTGTTTGCAATACGTGTAAATCATCGTAGGTTATAAAATGACACGTGCCATAGCCAGTTTTTAGGCTATTGATTTTTATACTTATTTTGATTACGGATTACTTCCTGTAACTGCTCTATACAGATGGCTCACGGCAGGTTTCGAAGACGGAGTACTTATTCCTAATAGGTACCTGATCAAACAGAGGTATGTGTTTTGCCTGTTTACGTTTCGTATTGTTGACAGAATTTATTCTAAAGCTCATACATGAGAAAAAGAAATCTTTTGCTGTGGCCTTCAACTCGACATTTAGATATATCGACGACGTATTATCAATTGACAATAGTTATTTCCATTCATATGTCAACATGATATATCCCAGTGAGCTTGAAATAAAAGATACCACAGAGTCTGACACTTGTTTCGTTTTTAAATATTTTACTAGAAAAAGACGTTAATAGTAATCTAACATAAAGTTTTAGGATAAACATGATGACTTTAACTTTTTAATCGTTAACTTTCCTTAATTATGCAGCAATATACCTTCATCACCTGCATACGGGGTGTATATCTCTCAGTTGATTCGATACGCAAGAGCATGTTCTACGTATGAACAATTTCTAAAACGAGATAAGTTATTGACAAACAAATTTAAAGTAGTAAGTTCTATGGTCGATACAATGACCTTGTCAGCAAATATAATTTATCATTAAGTCAAATGCTGACTGACGTTTTTCATACTAATTATTAGGCCATTATTTACACACTGAATTGTCGACGGATTTTTTACATTATTTCCCGATCAAGACAAGGAGCACACGACGGGTGTAACCGGTCAGTAGGGGATACTCACTCCTCTATGGCACCTGATCCCACCTCTGATGTTTTAGAGGCCTGTGTTTGCTCTGCTCCATAATTTGTAATGTTTAATGGACTTTTGAGCTTGAATACTGTTCGTTATCTCCATATATTTCATTTGGAATGGTAAATGGGTTGTGCCTGATGAGAAAAAAAGTAATGACTTCTATTTATTTGGGGGATTTGTACAAAACAGAATGTAAGGCTATAACATGTATTAATTGAATTATGCTAGGAAAGTTTTAAAAAGTGTTTACGTTTATTGATAATGTATTAGTTAAGTATAGGTCAAATCAAGTTGAACGTTCAATAGGAAGTGGGAGAGTAAAACTACTCAACTGCGGCCTTACGGATTCCTCAGCGATTCTTCAGCTGACCTAGTTCAGTCGCGACTTGATTTCGAACCCACGACCTTCCTACCACGGATCTAAAGATTTTTGAAATCGATCATTGATCGTTATCTTCACTTTTTCATTTTTCTTTTTAACGTCCCTTTGAGAATTTTTCACTCTTTTTTCACTCACATTAAAATGTGACCACTTGTCAGCGGAGAGCTGCAAATTTAGACCTGTACTAGGCACTTATGACCTTTGAGCAGTGAGGGATCCTTTTTGTGGCAGCACTTATTACGACAAGGTTAATGTACGGACCGGCTTCACCTCCCCGGAGTGGGATTTGAACCTGCACAATAAAACTGTCTAAAGGACCTGCGGGCGTTATCTATAAGTCGACTGAAAACGCACATTTAGCGGTAATGACAATAAACACAATCTGTATGTCCATGCCTCTTATTTTTATATTTATCAAAATATCTTCAAAACTGACTATTGACCGGAAGAACACTTATGAGTATAATCTATCCTGGAGTCCAATTGGAAGTCTAAGTTCCACGTAATATTCATCTTTCCCTTGTCTATAGAAATTTTAGATATATGTCTTTCCTTCAATATCAGTTTTACAAAAAAGGATAATGTACAATCATTTTTAAAAATAATTTTCGTTTAAACTTTTGTATTTATAACAGTACAAGGATACATTTTGAAACAACCAATATCATCATGAATTATATTACAAATAATTCATGCTTCAATATTATTTCATATTGCTACAATTCATACATATGAATTTCTTTTTTGAAAACTGTGACAATAAATTATGAATTGATGTGCTTGTCCTTTCTCTTCTTAAATGAAACAAAACGCTACAGGACCTGCTTGTGCTCTCTGTAAGTCGACTGAAAACGCGTGGCATACTCAGCTGTAATGACAATAAATACATCTCGTATGTCCATGTCTGTATGAACGATTACCGAGTCATCTTTTGTTTTCATATTCCTCACAATATCTGCATAACCAACTTTAGACCCAATAAACACTGTATAAGTAAAGTCTATCCTGGGGTCCAATTGGAATACTCCGTTCCACGTGACATTCAGCTTTCCGTCATCCATGGAAATATTGCATGTATTTCCTTTAATTCAAGTGGAGAAAATGGTTAAATAAAAATTCCGTTTTTTGTTAAAAAGTGGACTTCTCTATATATATTCTTTTATAACAACGACAATGATCTTACCCGTTTGGATTGGAGCAATATAAAGTACTTTGTACTTCCATTTATTGAGTCACTCTTTTCTCCATCAGAATTGACTGCGTAAACGTCAGCTATATAGGTACTGTTATACTGAAGATCAAGATCATCCATTGAAACATAATTATGCTTTCCAATATTAGCAGAGTTCAACACTATATTTTCATCAGATTTTATGCAGAAGTTATAATTAATCAACCCTGTAATATCATGAAAGCTCAACCAATTAAATTGAAGTGAACTGGTGGAATGTTGGACATGCTCCTGTGACTTCATCCTAAAGCTGTTAACAGCAAAATTCACCTCTGACTGAGTAGCGATTGGTGCTTTGTTTGCCACAATAGTAAAATTTTTATTGTTGACCTCGGAAATTAGTCCAATCGTATTCTCGCATTTTACGGAAGCAAATACTTTTGTGCCATGTGGAAGTCTCATACTAGGTGATCTGCATTCTGTTCTATTTTCTGATTTGAACCATGATATAATTGTGTCTGAACCCATAATGTTACCTGGAAACAAAATATTTTAACTAGCTGAGATAAGGACATTTTCATTAGAATTTAAAATAGAGACACCCAAACAATTCCCAACTTTTAAAGATTAAGTTTAGTCGTAGAAAAAAGAAAGATAACTTACCCAAAGCGCAAGAGCATTCCCGTATGTCACTTTCCTCCTCTTCAACATTCCATCTGATTGTAAAAATGGCTTTTACTTTAGTATTCTCTGTTTCATATGAAACAAAAACGTCTTTAACAACTAACATGGGTGCCGTATGATCTAATGCAATAGGCAATGCATGAAAGTTTTCTTGTAAACCAGCACCATTTTTGGCGTAAACGGAAACAATTATTGGTGTCGCTTGTTGTTGCAAGATGTGGATTGCTCGCACAAATATTCCAGTATTCATGGAAAAGCGTGCTATCTGCTGGGCATTTCTAATGGTTCCAACTAATACATCCACAGATGTTATATCACTTTCTTCGTCCACAATAAAGACAGATATTAACACGTGACTTGGAGATATTTGGCGAACAGCAATAGCATTGTCATTTGCTTCTTCTAGTCTCAAACATTTTTGCCCAGTTAGACGAATCTTAAAATCATCGTTCAACATTTTTAGTGTTGTGATATCTACAAATACATTGACTGTTTTTTGAGTTGAAGATAGATAATGGAATTCATTTTCTAAACCATCCGTTGGAATTTCATGGTTAGTGTCTTCAATAAAACGTGTATTGAGTCATGCCGAAATTTGTGATGCGCATGTATATGAACCTTAAATCTGTATTGGCCCTTTGTTACATTAAGTTTTCCTGATAGTAAGTTTTCTTTGGTAAAAGAGGAAATTGTTGAATTGTATATTATTTGACTGTAAAGTTGGCATTTCATTCCTTTTGGTTTTGATACGTCGAATGATATTTGATGAGATCGAGCTGCATTACTCTTTAGACCAACAGAATTTTGTGCTTTTACAAGAAAGATGTATAGTTTCTTGAAATTTAAAGTGAGGTTTGAAAAGGTGTGTTTATTCCGGATTCCAACATTCTCAAAATGTTTAATAATATTACCATCAGAATCTACCAAAGCAACAAGATAGCTACTTATGAAAGACTCGTGATCTGCAAAGCCTTGCCAAGATGCTGTTAATGAAGTCAAAACCGTTTGCCGAGGAATATTTTGGAAGAAAGCCGTATTATACACAATACCGACCGATGGAGAAGTATCATCAATAAGAATGCCAGACGAGAACAATGTTGTTTGAAGACCAACATTGTTAACTGCTTGAACGGTCGAAAAATACTTGACTCCTGGGTGCAAGTTTGAAAAATGCCAAGTGAAATTCAATTTTAATCCAATATTGAGTATGCCCGAAACATCATGCCCTATAAAATAATAAGGTAAATATTTAATCCCGAGAATTTAAAAATTACAAAGATTACAATGATGAAAACAGTAACACTTGCGTCTGCTATGTTTAATGAAATATGAATAGATTATCAATTTAAAAAAAAAAACAAACTAAATTTCACAATTAAAGATGTATTTAATTACCTCCTGGCACTGTTCCTACAAATACATTATAGTTCTTTATTCCACTCTGTTGATCAGAAAACACTCCGTCCCAGCAAGTCGTTAAATTATGAAATGTTTTCCCCGAATGAGAATGTGTGGCGCAGTTATCAAGCGAGTCCAATACAGCTTTACCCCGATTTATCTTTGGGGGAGAGGTATCGATGGTAACAGGTTTTGATTCAGACATAACATAGTCAGTGTCCGTAATCCATGACCTCAAAAATATAACATATGAATGCATATGCTTAAACTGCTTTCCAGGAGGCAAACAATAGACAAACTGAGTTTCGAGGCCAATGTCTTTCCAGGGATTTTCCTTGTGAAGATTAAAGACTCCATATCCGATTGGGAACCCTTTTACGCCAACACTCCATTCGTACCTTACAATCATGTCGTTTGTTGAGTTCCAGTGGGCAGAAAGGCAACGCGTTGATAGAGTGTATGCATGTTGTAACTGTAAACCATCTGAAATAACGTTGGGAAAAGGTTTCATGGTAAAATTCAATTCTTTGCATTGCATTCCTGCAATATTGTTTGAGCATTTTTTGCCAATAGCTGAACATGTACAATCATTTGTACAAGACAGTGAATCACAGGAATGTTTTTCGAGCAGCAGTCTACCGTGAGACATATTATTGTTTGTAGGAAGAACTAAAAACGTTACATGTCTTGCTGTGCTGTTGAGACCAACATTGTTCTGGGCAGACAGACTTAGCATAATTTTCTCGTTTTGCACCAATTTTCGAGAGATATTTAAGGTAACTTTTTGTTCTTCATGGACATCACCATCATGAGCTACTTTAATGGTGTGTCCACTGATTTCACGTCCATAGAGTGTTTCGCTAAGATGTAAATAATATGCCACAACCTGCGTCTCTGGATCCACGAAATCTTTCCACTTAAGCATTACATTTAAATCATTATTGGACCATACAGCATTATCTAAAATATGACCAACGAATGGTGGTGTGGAATCAATGATGATCTCATCGCTCTCACTCGAAGTACATAGCCTTGCTGCATTGCATGACGTCACAACTATTTTATATTTGTCTCCCGAGCTTAACCATTTTGAAGTATCTAGGGGAATTGTCCTCGTTTCATCTCCGTAAAAAACAATGTCATCAAGATATGTCTTACTGTTGTGATTTGTTTGAAGGGAAATTAAGCCTTTAGATAAAGGACTCTCATTATCTTTGAATTTCCACTGGATTCTTAATAAAGATGAATCATACAGTTCAACAAGAGAATTTGATTTTATGACGTTCGGTGGAAATAAAACAATAGGTGGTGTTACATCAACAAAGAATTCATCAGAAGATGCAGATGACGCCAACCCGGCTTTATTCTCTGCTTTTACTACCGCATATATGCTCTGATTTAGTGGCATGTTTAAATTGAAGAGTAAAATTGAAGTTTCATTCCTACAATTTTTCCAAGGTTTCACATCACAGAGAAACTTTTTTGAACCTAAACACACAAAGTATTGTAAAATTCCTGATTCTGCGTCGATAAAATCTACCAATGACACGCGTAATGTTTTGCTGAAAATAAAAAAAAAATAATAACACTTTTAAGAAATCAGTCCTTTTTTCATCGTTTAAAGCAGATTAGAAATCGGTTTAGTAATTAACACCACTTTTTTAATCAATGGAAATCTCTATGTTAAACATATAGCACCATACTTGTCAGGTACATATCTATCGTTGTTTCCCCCTATTAAAACCCTTCCAGGTATCGGAGGTGAATCATCAAGGATAATGCCATTAGAAGATGCAACACTGCAGAGACCAGCTTTATTACATGATTCAACGGTTGCAAAATATTTCACGCCTCTTCTAAAACTTTTAAACCAGGTCCATTCTAGATCGAAAGGGAAAAATATTACAACCAGTTTGTCTCAAAAATAAAAAATCATTATTGAAAGATATTCTACGGATGATTTTAGCTTACCTTTTCGTAAACCAACGTCAGTCACTGGTAGTATGTTAGTCTTCTTAGGGGCAGTCCCTAGGCCAACACGGTAGTTTGAAATCATGGAGTGGGGGTCATGAAAATTTGTCCAATGAAAGGGTAGGCTTGAGACATTATTACTGAACATCAAATCAACCTGAAGATATATAAATATTCAAATTAATTGACAAACATGATGAAATTATTGCATCTTCTCTGCTTGTTGTAATGAATAGTCCTCTCACAAATCTAACGATATATTGTGATAACTGAAACTGAAATGTTCAGTAACGTACATGTAATTGGGTAAAATAGAGACATTTTTTTTTAATTTTACAAATCCCAGATGGATTATTACCTCAAAAAGGTACATTTTGTAATGTAGAAGAATTGTCTTTCTTTAATAAGGAAACTATTTTATATATATATGGATCATACAATTACCCCATTTTCTAAAGGACCATCACGAACTACGCCAACCAAAGGCGGCGAGGCATCAAAAATAAACGGAGCTGATGACATTGTAGAGTACAATCCAGCATTGTTCCATGCCTAAATAAACATCACAAGTAATATCTCCTTTAAATTCAAGGAAAAATAAGATCTACTGATGTTATAAATATTGAGCGAGAAAAAAAAACCCAATACAAAAATAAACGCTTAAATTTATTGATTGTCAGTACGGAATTTCAAAGTTAAGAAAAGATTTTAAGAATGTTTTTAGTCTTAAGTACCTTTAGATTTACACGATATTGATGACCATCAATGAATGAAAAATAGTCCCTAAGGTCAGGAAATGTGTTTTTGTTCACGGAAAAATATGCTGAAACCTGCTCGTTAAAAGTCCTTATTCCAATCTCATATTTGTCGATTCCACTTTCCCTATCTTCAATACCTGACCAATGAACAATCAGACTACCGGGATTGACCATCGTTAAGCTTTTGATGTAACTCCCCACGGTTATCATTCCTGTCGTTGGAGGGGTAGAATCAAAGATATATCGATCGGACGATGATGTTATGTTGTTTCCAGCATGATCAAAGGCTGTAGTATCATAAGAATAAAAATTTGCTAGTTTATTTGAACGCATATATGCATTTTTAAAAAATATAGCTGCTGAATAAATTTACAAATTTAATGTAATCAAAGACGCATCTTCATACCTCTGATAAAAAAATAATAGGTCATTCCATTTGTAAGGGAGACGTTTGTTAGAACCGATGATTCCGATAAACCACAATGCGTAAAGGACAAAATATCTTGACTGTCAAGATGGGTACCTCAAAAGAAAACAGAAATATGTTGAACTTCATTAAGGCCTTACTATATGCAAGATTTATATTATCTAACGGAAAAATATCATACCAGCTTTATTGTGTCTAGTAATGAACATATAAGCTTTACCTATTGCTATATCGTATCTATCAATAGTAGATGGATAAAGAAATTCTTTAAAATGTGATCCATCAGCAAAATCATGCCATAGTACAGTGATAGTAGAATTCGAGTTAATGTAACCATTATAATGATTGTGGACTTTTACATTTCCCGATGATGGTGGAACATTATCTATCACAAATCCGTCGCTACAATCTTTGGTTACATTCACGCACAAGTAATAAATTTCCCCCGTTCGTAGACCTAAGTATGTGGGAAACTGCATGAATCCCCCTAAGGTGGTTTCATGATAAATACAAGAAACATCTGTCAGACAATCAGTAGGAACCTTTTTTTCGATCATTACAGTCCATTGTACATAATTTTGTCCAGTCCCGATAGTAAATCCTCCTAACTGTACCCGCCTTTTGTTTGTAAAGTCCATTTCATGTACATGAAGTGTTTTTATCATATTCGATCCAATGGTAGAAGTGTATTTATAATCATGAAGATTTTCTATTGGTAAAGTTTCCAAATTTAGATCGTAAACAACAGATTTGGGAAACTCGTTTGGGTGCTGATTTATCCATACTCGTGAACATTGCAGAGACGAAAGTCCAGATTCACAAAATCCTTTAACAGAGGTAAAGATTTCCATGGGGGGTAAACTGGCAAATGGACACAGGTTGATATCTTAGATGGAAAATAAACATGACATGTATTAATATAAATCGAAAACCCCCACTCAATTATAATAGCAACTTGAAAAACGATACTTACAGATATGGTATCATTAGCATCGGCTTTCACCGAATTATATGTGGAAAGTTGTTTTTCTCCTTCGTTGTCCCCAAAGAAAGCCCATTTCTAAAACATTCATACCTCTTTAATTTTTCGCTGCAAATGAACTTTTGAAAGGTTATATTTACTAGAGGACATTTATTATCCAGTAAGTCAAATGTTGCAGACAGACGTCCCATGTTCATGTCAAAATTTTCTAGATAAAATCCATTGGACATCCATGATTCGGTACAGATATGTCCAAAACATGGTTTTATCGATACTCGATAAAAGCCATCCCCCAAAGGACCAGTAAGTATTGATGACGAAAATGTTTTTTCAATGTTTCTACCAAATAAAATTGTTTCATTGCAGACTTCCTGTAACGAACAAAAGTAGTGAACAGCCATTCTATAACTCGTGAATTTAGAGCTTGGCCCATGCACCTCCCAATTAGCTGATATCATATCCATGTTTTGTAGGAGTTCAAGATCTTTCATACATTTATGGAGTATAAGCGCCGACAGATTCACTTTTTCCGAGAGTCCTTCGATGACGAAAAAAGGATGCTCCTCAATTGGAATAAACGATAAAAAATCATTGAATGCCGCATTGGGAGACATTATTACATCCTTACTTGACATGCTAAATTTGAAGTCTTCGGAAATAATGAATATTGTATAATGTTGTCCAATTACTAATGTGGGATGAATGTAAACTGTGTTATTTTTAAATTCGGAACTTGAGATCCGTGTTATAACCGTTGTCTCGTCACAGCCCTTTCCATCGAACTTTAACATTTAATGAGGGAACACTCTGGTCAATATTAATAAATCCATTAGTTTTGGTCTCAAGGATTCCATACAAAGAGGTAATTTTCATCGCGATAGTATATAGTTTAAAAAAGTCTAGCTGTATATTAAAATTACAATACGTGAAAAGAGAGCTTTCTATTACAATAATATTTCCTTTTTCGTAGACCTGATGAGATGTATTTGAATAAACTGCAAATTCATAAACTGCATCAGATGTTGGAAAAGTGCCATGGTATCCTACACAGAAAGAACTATTTGAAAATGTAAAATTGCTGTCATGCATATTTTCAAGCGTTAAATTGCTTGCAAACGAAGGATTTAAATCGTACAGTTTTCCGTAAAATGTTCGAGATGTAAATGGAACATTGAAATTCATAGACTGTATCTCACAAAACAATCCCGCAGCACTGTAGATGTGGAATTCAAAATGAAAATTTTCATGGGTATCTGAATACTGTGTCTGTATGTCCTCAAGATTTAAACTAACACATTCGTAATTATTTGGACATGAAATTGAAAGATGTTCTTCCCATTTTGAAAATGTCGAAACCATTTGACTTTTTGTACCTGGAATATAATTGAACATATTTGATTTTGCCACCTTTTTATTAAATCGGTTTCAAAAGACTATGAAAAATTACCTATTCTGTAGAAGAGTTTCTTGATTTTTTCTGTCTGGTCTATATCATAGAAAAAGCTGGAATTCCAGTACACTGTTACCGATGTATCAGATATGACGACTTCTGGCTTTCTAAAGCATATGGGTGGTGTTTCATCAATTAAAATGGGTCCTATATGCACAATTGTTTTCATCAGGGCATTATTTTCAGCTTTTATAAATGCATAAAAGTAACTGTCGATATCAAGACCTAGATGTCGTTTGTGATAAAAAGATTTATGGGAAGATTTTATATATCCTATTAGGTCTGATGTTTCACTGTTTAATAAAGACGACCCGAATCCGATATAAATTTCATTTAAAGAAGTTTCAGAATCAAGAATACTCCAAGTTATATTAATATGATCATTACTGAGATAAAAAAAATAAAGTTTCGTTTTTTATACTATTTTCAGAACAGCCGATAGTAAAATTAGCATTTTCATCTATTGGTATGATGTCCAAAATGCTGCTTGCAAAATTTTTACATGTACAATTGGTTTTAATCTTCCTGACTGATTCTGTTATTAGCCATACATTATCATCTTTGTCACATGCATATTTGGGGTTCATAGAAAGATTTTCTACAATTACAGCTCTGATTGTTGGTGGTGTTCTATCGAGAACTATACCATCACTGCATACAACTTCAGATGATTCCAATGCATTATTAAATGCAACAATAGATGCAAAATATTTTCCAATATTTGGCAATGTAGCTCGAAGAGAAGTCTTCGATGTTTCAAAGAAAGGAATCTGTAGGTATTTTTGTAGCCTGGCCGATTTTGGAATGCATGAATTCGAAACTGTTATTCTGTAGAATCGTATGCCACTTTCATAATCAATGAATCCTTTCCAACTGATTGTGATATTTTCTGTTGCTGGGAAATCCATATCAGGTTTATCAGATTCACCTTCTTGAATTACTCCGACTTCAGGTGCAGATTCATCAATTAAAATGACTACTGACCTTTCTGATTGTGGATTCGCCTTATTTGTTACCACGATTTCGAAAGTATAATTGCGATGATGCTGTCCTATATGTGTATTATTTGTAATAAGAGAGTTCAAATCCAACGTAAAATTGTAGTTGGTACAATATCCTAACGGTGTACAGTAACAATGTAATCCGGTATGACATGCCTGAATAAAAATTGTTAAGAACTACGTTATTTTTAATATTTTCTAGATTTCATTTTCTAACACCCCAGAAAGGCAAATAATATTAGGATTTTCTATGGAAATTAAGTGTAAACGCAAAGTTTACTACCAACAGTTCGAAAATTCAAAAAAAAAAAAAAAAAAAAAAAAAACCCTGCCAAATCTATGTTTTTTTTTTATAAAGTGGAGATTGCTGCTTATCATAGAATTCAATTTAAGCATTGGGGTGAATAACGTTTATTTTTTCTTCCAAAAGTGAAAATTTTTATATATTCTAAATAGCTTTCATTGGGCTGTACATTTCAATATTCTCTTTTCACCTTTCATTACCCTAGAAAACTCTTTTCTTTGCGTCTTTTTACCTGAATTATTTTCACCCCAACAATCTTGTGTGCAAAATGTTCTTGATTATCCGTCCACCCAGCAGTCCAAGAAACATGATCCAATCCGCTCTGGATGTCAGAAGCTTGAAAGCTTAAGTTCATTTTTGATAAATCTGTCTGGTTATGAACATAAAGCATATCCTCTTCATCTCGAATGAGGCCGAGATTCTTATCACAGGCGGAGATTTGTCAATGAATACTGTGACATTATCGAAAAATTCATTTCTTACGACATCGCTCATTGAAAGTTCAAAATATACCTCATCCCCATCCTCCAAATTAGAAATATTCACTCAGACACCTTCGTTTAAAATATTTGTTATCATTTCGTCAGTAGCTAGGGCTGAGAAATGACCACCAGAGGTTTTCGCTAAATTGTACTTAAAATGGGTTATCCCTCTTATGTTTGGAGTTCCGGTAGGATGAAAGTGGCCTGACGTTTGCTCATAAATGCCTGAAAAGGTGTTATGTACACCTGGATCAATTGGACTCATTGGATTGTAATGAACATACTTATCATTATAGTACTTTGCAGTCCAATCGTAGCAGAGTGTTCGATGATTTGTTTGCCAAACATATCCTGTCTCGACCGATGCTGAAGATACACGCAAAGCTTTGTTTGTGTGAGATAATATTTTTGATGAATTATCAAACAAAACAAAACGTCTTGCTTGACGAGAATTAAGAGCAATATCATCAACTTCCAAGACCACAGAATATAGCATTGGGTTGGACGTTGCTGGTATGTTGATGATGAAGGAAGTACAGTTAGAGCATTGTATTTTGCCTAAAATAGATGAATGCTTTGCTTTCAACTTCAATCCATCGTATTCCATTTCGTGCAAGAATAATTCAAAATGTTGTATTCCTGATGCACAGATTGTTTCGGCTCCTGCAAAATCATAATCTTTCCATCCAAGGAATGTAACAGAGAGTTCTGGGGAATTCGTTACTTCTTTTGAAATGTTAAGCGGTGTACTATTGCATGATATGAGATCCAAAGAATGTTTTGGAGACAAGTTATCAAAGAAATAGCAAAGTATTCTATCAGCTTCCGTTTTACCATATATGTACGTATGTGATCTGAACACTACATATCCTCCCGCATAAGCTCTATATTTTAAACAGAATCTGAAAGAAACATATTAAAGAGAGTATAAAAAAATAAATCACATAACAAAAATTACACCTCACAGCGGATAAATTTAGTTTGAAATTTTATGGCATTTGGAATTTTAATATTGAACACCAAATTACATTGCCTCAGTATCAAATCATAATTTGTACTCATAATTTGAGAAAATAATGATATGGTTAGTTTTATTGAAACACTTTTTTCTCAAATCATGATATTTTATCCTAAATATTCTCACTCTCAACTACAAAGTGAACGCAAAAACGCTTATTGTGGTTTTTTTTTTAAAAATACTTACTCAAGGCATGTTAACTTGTTTCTGACAGATTATTTGTTCCATCTATTTTACTTAATTAGACATAAGAAAAGTTCAGTAATAGACACTTCATACGATACAATTGTTACCTGTTC